GAACATTACAAAATTTCAAGGACTTTGAATGACAAATTCACCAAACAATCGCCAAGCGTATTATTAATCATACCTACAAGGCCATAGACTATAGACTGTGTAGTGTAATAAATGCGAGAGTATGAGCAGAAGAGAGCATAAGAGGTTGAGAGAGCGCGGTAGCGTGAACATGAGCGGAATAGCAGGCAGTTAAAAAGAAGGTAGCACATAGTGTGAGTGAGAGGTAGCTGCCACCAATAAACATAGCCTTAGATGGGAGAATGATACTTTCTGAGATATGAAATCTGTTGCAGTTAGTTGGGACGCATGTGCTGTACCAATGATAAATAAATAAATACATATGTATAGATAATCTGTAGCAGACATAAATTATTAATAAAACGTTTGACAGTAAAATTAATTTCAACGCTTATCTATCTATAGCGTGTCTTCCTGTTTCCTTACATTATTACATCATTAAGGTTTCGAAAGGAGGTTGGGTGGGCTATAATAAGGTAGGCGAAAAAGAAAAAAAGAAAGCGTGAAATTAGCAAATGATTTAAATGAGCTGTAGAAAGGCGTTAATGCTTTCTATAATGTGCTTATCAATTTCTATACAATATTGCTGTTAAAATTTGAAAATGGTTTAAGAGTCGTAATTCGGTAAATAATCACTCGAAATATAACAAAAATAAGTAAAAACGTTGACCGAAGCTATAATACCCTTCACAGGTACATTTCTTAAAGCATAAAAGTGTATAAAAAAAGAAAATAAAAACAAAGATGTTTATCTTGATTTTGATGGATCAGTTTGTATGGCTATCTGTAGGTTATAGTAATCCGAACTGAACAATTTGCTCGGAGATTGTAACGCTGCTTTGGTCAATTATTCGTGCCAAATTACGTGAAGATATTTCGGCAAATAAAAAACTTTTCCATACAATTACTTGATTTTGATCGTTCAGTTTGTATGGCAGCTATATGCTACAGAGGTCCCATATCGGCGTTACCAGCAAATGAGCAGCTTCTTGGAGAGAAAAGGACGTGTGCGAAATTTCAAATTGATATCTCAATGAGCGACTAGTTCGCGTATATACAGACAGACGGAGATGGCTAAAGACAAATACTATTTTATAGGGGTTCCGATGTTTCCTTCTGGGTGTTACAAACCTCGTGGCATACTTAATATACCCTGTTCAGCGTATAATTAACTAAAAATTCAGTAATAAAATCATAAACAACTTGAAGTTTTAAAAATATAATACAAAAGTTCTTGCGCTCTTCTCGCTATTAATTTTAAAAACCAGTTGAGAAATAAATTCTAATTTTTTTTTTTTTGGAACAGCGAAAGGAATACATATTATTGAAAGTTTTCGGGCGCTTCAGACATTTATTATCACACCGGGTTGGTTATAACAGCTCTCAAGGCTTTTGAATGCTTTCTGCTAAAAACTAACTTCTCCCCGATTAGTAGCATGTAACTCGAAGTGTATCATCAGTACTATTACTTAGAATATTGTGAGAAGAATTAACTAAATATCTCTTCAAGTCACTCAAACTAATCATTCAAATTTTTTTAAGGGTCTTTGAAACTGCTGAATAAAATCAGAGTAGATTTTTCATGTACATATTGTTTTGTAATGGCCATCACATATATTATTAACGGTTTTCATAGACCTTAAGCTAACTTTGTGACTTTATGTTGATACGCTATACATTTTTCTCCAACTACTGTCTGCCTTATGCTATGTAATCCCCTGGAAGTAGGAAAGTATAAAAACAGAGCAAATTCTATGTTCCTAAAAAAAATTCTGCAACTCGATACATTTTCGATACATTCTGAGTTTAAAGAAGCTTGTGACAGATTGAACAGAATTGGAAACGTGATTTTGCTAGCCGTTGCTACGAGTTTTTATGCTTTCCGACATAGCTTAGATTTCATAACAATCATCCTATAATCATAAAATGTATTCATAAATAGGTGAAGAGGTAGTGCTGTGGTTTTTGAACCCATGCTTGCATCTACCTTTTTCCATCATATATAGAAAACTACATTCTATAGTAATCTAAGATGTAATGCGTACTCAATTAAAATTTTTTAATTATTTTTACATTTTTAACTTCAAAACTGCAGTGTCTACTTAGTAAAATTTTGTCATATAAATATATGTTTCGCATGGTATGGGTGGTACAAGTACTGTAGATATAATTACTTCAAAAATCCATTTTTATCTTTTGGCACTAAACAGTACAGTACAAGTATTAGTATTTTAGTAAAGATAACGTAATTATGCTTGGCATGATTCATAACTTAGGGTGTAACATAAGCAGAAATGCAAAATTTTGAGCAAATTTCGACTGAACTAAAACTTAAAATCATAAATAAATTATATTAGTAAAGAGTAAGTTATTATATAAATTTTTTTCAATAAAACTGTTGAGAATTGCAGTTTCATGCTAGTGATACGAATAAAATATTAAGTGTATTCGATATTTTTCGCGCTGATTTTGACATGACAGCAGCCTTACGCAATTTATTTGTGCTGAAAGTCTGCGTTAGAAGTACAAAATTATGTATTGACTTGGAATTTGGAACTTGGGCAAATATTTAATTGAACTAGAAAACTATGGAGCTCAGTGCTTCCAACCAACAGCTGCCACTCTATAAAGCATGCCATAAAATGCTTATGAGATTAGTTTACAGGCAAGTAAGTAATTACATATTGAGTCAAGCAGGAATATTTTTTCCCAAAAATATGCCTTTACGAGCTCTAAGATGTGCTCACTTCATGGGAAAATGAATATAGAACTTGAAACGAAGAAAAAACATAAAATGAAGCTAAAATTTAAATCAAGTAAGTGTTACAGAAAAATTAGTACTTTGCGGCAAAAAAAAAAAAGAAAAATTAACAGAAATGCTGATTATTCTCTAGACCAAGCAAATGTGTAGAAGACAATCAAAGCCAAATACAACAAAGCAAAAGCAAACGCTCGCCAAGATGGTGATGATGAAGATGACAAATACGCGTCTGCAAGACGTGCAAATAGAGCAATGAAAAACGTGGACGTGGTAAGCAAACACAAACGAACGTTGCAAAGGAGACACAAGAAAGAGAGAGATAAAACAGACTTTGAAAAACGGGCGCAACAAAAGTGTAAGCAAATGATGTCAGGGAATCCACAGAGTGAAATTACTAGTTAGTGTGAGTCAAAATTTGCTTTGATAAAAGTGCAGGTATTGTAACAGCACAAGAAGTATAAAGGTGCAAAGAGTACGTAGCAACGAAAGGCAAGCGTAACGACACGCCAGCAAATGCTAGTGCGTGGCAAAGATGGCAAAACCCCTAAACGACGGGCCTCGCATAACATTTTACTGCAGCTTGAAGTAAAATGATATGCGAGGTGGGTGGAGGTGAAATAAAAAAATGGTGGTGTTTTTTTTCGGGGGAGGTTGAGAAAAATGTTGTCGGCATGATCATTGTGTCCTCACAGCGTTGAGGTAAAGAGACGGCACAAAAGAAACAATTTGAAAAATAACAAAATTTTTAAATTAAATTTCAAAAATTAATTTAAAAAATTAATTAAATAATTTATAATTAAAAAACATTAATGATTAAAAATGAAATTAAATTACGCTTGCATTAAATTTAACAAAATTAAATTATGGAACATAAAATTTAAAAATTAAAAAAATATAAAATAATGGAATAAATAAAAATAATTTTAAAAAAATTGAGATGAGGAAATAAATAAAATTTAATTGGTTTTACTGAATTATTAATTATATCAAATGAAATATGAAATGAAATAAAAGTGGTAAAATAAAATGTTAATTTTTTTTCGCAAAATATTTCAAAAAAATATAGTAATTATAAATTATATAAAAATAATTAAACTTAAATAATATAAAATAAAAATAAAATAATTATGAAAATATAATAAAAATTATTTGGAAAATATATAAACAAAAGTATAAATAAAATTTAATTACTTGAACTGATTTAATTAATTATATGTAATAAAATAAAAATAAATAAATGTGGTTATAAAAATGTTTAAGATATTTCATAACAAGTTATTTAACAAAAATTATAACAAAGATAAATTAAGTAAAATTAAATAAACTTAAATAATATAAAATAAAAATTAAATTAAAAAAAAATCTCAAAAAAAAATTAAGTTAAATTTAATTTTTGAACTAAATTATTTAATTATGTAAAATAAAACATGAAATGAAACTAAAATAAATGCAAATTGTAAAATTTAAATTTTTTCAAAAAAAATATTTAATGAGTATATATTAAATGTAACTAAACAAAATTAAATAATATAACATAAATATAAAAAATTATAATCACAAAAATTTAATTATTTTAACTTGATAAATATAAATTATAAAATAAAGTTTGAAATTACTAAATTAGTAAGATAAATTTTAATTTTTTCAAAAAATTTATAAAAGAGATAAATAAACCAAAAAAGGCAAAATCAAATTTATTTGCTTTATTAATTAAATACTTATTAAAAATCAAATAAATTTACAAAATAAAATAATTCTAATAAAAGTAAAAAAAAGTTAAAGACATTGAATAAAATATAAAATATAAAAAAAGAGTAAATAAAATTAATTAAAAATATTAAAATAATTATTATAAAAACGAAAATAACTAATTTGTTTCACAATTTTTGCAAAAAAAAAAATTTAAATCAATTTACTTATATTTTTAAGAGTAAAAAACTACTTTTTGGAAAGATATAAACAAATGTTGATAAATAAAAATTTTATTATATTTAATCCTAAAATATTCCTTACAATTTTCAAAAATTAGAAAAAAATTACGATATTTAAATTTATAAATTTTTACTTTTTTCACTTTCCATTTTTTCGTATTTTTATTTAATTTAATAAAATGTAACGTTTTAATTCAAAGTAATGAGCTTAATTTGAAATCACTATACTCTGACAAATTTTTGCGTTTTTGCAAACAATAATCAAAAGCAGCGAACCTATGCGCACTCACCTCAAGATAAACATCACTGTCCGGATTGAAGGTGTCATTCACCCGCTGAAAAGTGTAATTCACATGTGGTATTGAGTGCAAAATGCGCACCAATATGCTGGGTTGCTCCATATTGCTGAACAATTTTCGCTACTTGCTTGCGTGTTGAAGATGTTGCGGCTATAGTTGTTGTATTTTAGCTAATCAGTATTTATTTGATGTTTATTTATGATTGCACTACAATTTATACCGCTTTTTAGCAAATATTTGCACATTTCACGCACAACACTTGTCTAATTTTAGGCGCTTACACAAATCAAATTAAATGCAAAACTCATGCGTATATAAAAAAGGAATAAAACTTTTAATTTTGACTTTTGACGTCACAATAATTTACGCACTCAAGCAGCAAGGCGATGAGAGAGCGCGTTGCGAGAGCGCGCAAGCGATGTACATATGAACAGTGCGGTGAATTTTTTTTAAAGTTGATTTCCTATATGTATTTGTATGTGTTTGCGTGCATATGCACGAGTGCTGTAAAACGTGCTGCTGCGTTATTTATGACTTTTTTAATAGAATTTATTTTGGCAAGCCAAAATTACTGCCAGACGCTCTCTCGCTCTCCTAACAAATTTAGTTGATGTTCACTTAAAACGGAGCAGACTTTTGGGCGCTCAAACGTGTGCGTTGTATATAAGTATATGCAATGTTTTATTTTTTGCATCAAGCATTAGCACATTTACGACCTTTTGTAAAGTTACACGACAGCACAATTTACACTGTAGCGCTCAAAGTAGCACAGTTTTAGGCGAAATCGTATTATAATTTCAAGCACTTAGTTTTCGCTGTTATATTATATATGAGCCACTTAAACGCTTTTGTTTCGCTGTATGTCATAAAAATGTTGCCGTTTTTTAGGCGCAGCGCAAACCTTTTTTTTTGTATTTTAAAGCATTTATTATATGTTACACTCAGAAACTTTCCCTATTTTGTTTACTTTTTACACTTTTGCATATCTAACAAAAGTATAGCATACTTTTGAGCGCCTCAAACTTTTTCTAATTAATTTTTTTTCTTTTCTTTTCCAAAGTTTCACAACTTAAACTCTTGCTGTGTTTTAGCTTTGATTTAGCTCACAGCCTTCGCGTCGATTTTCTTTACTACCCGTTTTACATAATACGTTGCATACATTCGCCCGTTTACACGCGTACACGCACAAGCTGGCCGACTATTATTAAGCACACTTTTAGGCGTTAACCTGCCCTTGTCTAAAGCGCTCAGCTGTTTTGCACTCGACACTTTTTTTTTTGTTTTGTGCAAGCCAAATCGTTGACTATAGCATATTTGCAGGCGCTAGACGTCATTCGCTTATTGGAGACCTTCTTTGTTTCGTGAGCGCTACACAGCTCTATTCACGTGACGTACAAATCACAGCGCGAAGGGAATTCGCAGTACGGCGTAGTTGTAAACTTTCGCTGCATTTATTTGTCGATTTCAATATTTATATATGACTGAACCTGTATATTTGTGTAGTGTCGTGCCTCTAGTATGCTGTTTAGCTAGAATTATGCCCGTCTATCCTCGCTGCCACTACGCGCAAATGATTAAATCAACGGTTTTTGTTGTGTCTTTAGCAGTCACAGCGACGCACAGCATCCTTACTAGACTGGACTCAAATGCCGAAAGACTTAAACACTGCAATGACGACCTGATGTCTCGTTTTCCGTTGGGCTCCCAACGCGTTCCACAATTTCTACGCACGTCGTACGATACACCGTTAACCGCGCGCGCCTCACTATTACCCACCGTCACTAGGGAGTGGAGGTGGTCTCTGCCGCCGCCGTCACTGTCGCCTCGTACGCGCGCACTCGTTTCTCGTTTATGTGCTAAATTTTCACTTTCGTTTTCACACCCAAAAATTCGGTGTGTGTGCACCTTGAAGCAGGTTTACACTATGCTTACTATTACCGTTTTGTGCGCGTTTTTTCGATTTTCTCTAATTATATTCTACAAATTCGTTTTAATTTCACAAATATATGCAATTTTATAAACAATTTCACATCAATTTTTATTTGCGTTCGCAGCACACGCAATGCTGTCCGTTTTAATGCCCGTTGACAGCTTCCTTCGCTGTGCTGCTCTGTTCTGTCAGTGGCTGGCGTTTGGCAAGGCTTCACAGGCTGTTGAAGTCAGGCAGCAAGCCTTTGCTGTAGTCATTCGCTCTTGGCGCTCACACGCGCGCAGTCTATATGGTCTCGCTTGTCTACACTTACTCTCTTTTTCTTCTCAACCGCTCAGTTGTGAGATTTGCTTGCAGAAATCCACCACAGCTTATGGATTACTTGCAATCCTTCTGCCTGTCTCATGAAATAATTGCTGCCTGCCTTCGCATAGTTATTTGAGTTCTCTCTTTGTTTGTCAGTTTGACAGCTGGAGTGTTGACAATGCCGTGTGGTGAATAAAACGTAATGAGTGTTGTAAATATATTTTTGAAGGCGCTGCAAATAAAAAATAAGAACATAATTTTTAATATTTTCTACAGTAATGTATAAATATTAGTCAAGTGCTATACTACATAGGGAAAGCCGTAATGACTTGTGGACTTATTAACTGACTCTTCTTCTAAATATACAATAAATATTTGGTATGTGGTAATCCCTTCTTGTATTATTTTTTCGCTTTTTCTTTTATATTTTAATTTATATTTTTACATAATTTTTTAATAATTTTCTTTTATAAAAAGAAGAAATATATGAAATATATATAGGTAGGTAGGTAGAGTGGGTGTCTAACGACGCACCTAGGCCTTTAGGAGCCACCCTGATAAAGTTCATCAATACAAAGCCAATTTTCTTCGTGAAAAATTCGGTTTAGATATGATTAACGATCGGAAAATCGCCACGACTAAATCAGGAACAACGATGAATCCTCTATTTTCCAGAAATCTACACTATTTAGAATCATGAACAAATATTTCATACTGCAGTTACCATAAAGCCATAATCTCCGCTATACCTACTGCGACTGAAGATAATGGTTACATTGAAGAAATAAATGAAATATTAAATTTGTATAACAGATCTTATTATTTTGATTATCCCTGTAATATGCACAATATTACTCTCTCGCTCTCACTTTCTCTCTTTCTTTCTCTTTCACTGACCCTCACTCTCAATTAATCGGTAACGAAGTATTTACTTTTATCACATGTACTGTGCGGAACGCGATTTTTTTTATTAAGCAGTTCAAATATTAATATAAATATTGTAAAATAAACTTATTATAATTTATTTATGTAAATTTAATAAAGTAAATTTAATAAATATTTAGCTGGGTAGTAAGAAAGAGAATTGAATTTATTTAAAGAAAATTAAATATGGTTGCAAAAAATAAAAACTAACTTTATAATTTATTTATGTACACACATTATTGTCATAGAAATTGTAAAAACAAATTATTTATTTTTTTGATCTAAATTTTTTACATTTTCCGTTTATTTGGTATTAAAATTTTATATATAAAAACATATCGGTTTATTATATTATATTATCTATTACTGTATTAATATGATTGTCGTAAAATTATAATAATAAATAATTCAAATTTTTTTTAAACTTTTTCTTATTTTTTTTTTAATTTAAAATTTTTTTTTTACATATTTTGTCTCCGTTCTGTTTATTTGGATTTAAAAATTTTTTGTATGCATTTTTAATCAAGTGTTTTCACATATTTATTATTGTTTATTATTTTTTACAATGTGTGTGTGTACATTTTATTGTTACTATTTTTTAAATTATATTTGTCAAAAATCCAAATTTTGTTTAGCTATTTTAATGAATTAAATTTGTAATTAAAATTTTTTGTAATCAAAAAACATTTATTTTTGTTTTTTATTATATTTAAAATTTCTTTTATTTGTTTTTTATTATTATATATAATTTTTTTTTTGTTTTTTATTATATTTAAAATTTCTTTTTTTTGTTTTTTATTATTATATTTAATTTTTTTTTGTTTTTTATTATATTTAAAATTTCTTAAACTTTTTTTCTAATTATTTCACTTTTCCGTCTATTTGGTTTTACTATATGAATAGGTTTTAATTAAGTGTTTTTTCTAACTAATTTTCAATAATTATATTTATGCAAGTAAGTGGAGTAAATTAAATGAAGTTCTCTAGTTTATTACAACATAGTCGAAAGCCATTGTTTAGTTTTTGCATAAATAAATAAAAACAACAACAAAGAATATTCGAAATACACTTATCATATATATAATATATATATATAATATATTGTATATATTTAATACATCGTATGTATGTACATATGTTTTGCAGTGCATACTTGTATATGTATATTACTTAATGCATATACATATATATCTGTATTTCAAATATTTATTTGCATTTCTACAAAACATTATGATCTCATGCTTCGTCATTTGTTTATTCAGTTTCAAAGTGGAAATAATGAAATCAAAAACCGTAAGCGCAGTTATCTATATATGTATGTATATGTTAAACAAGGCGCATATATAAAATAAATACAGATTTTTTTATATAAATAAATATATGTATTTGTATATTAGGATGGGTAAAAACAAAACGAATATTCCTTTTCGCTTGCTACTCTGAAAAAGTAGGTTCTTAGACACCTCTACAAAATCTCTCCAAGTATCAGCTCTTAATTGTGACGGGAAGGTTCTTCCCCGTACAATTTTCTATTGTTTTCTAATTATAACATAGAAAAATTCATATCTCGCTTCCAACTACTTAAAAAAAGTTTACGTTTTATAGTAAATTGAATTTATTACGATAAATCTAAACGTTTACAAGATATTAATGGTTGAAGTTTGATTATTTTAAGGAAAATTTTTTCTCATTGCAAGAATCTTTTTAACTTGCAAAACTCATAGTTTTGTAGGAAATTTACTGCTCTGTAGCGTTTTTCGTAGAGGTGTCTAAGAACCTATTTTTCAGAGTAACAAGGGTCGTTTTTTACGCAGCCTAATGTGTATAGTACATATAAAGAGTAAAGTATGGTGAATTATGTGTTGGAATTTTTTTTATAATAATTCAGAAAATGCATACTTGTATCATATCATATATATATATGACTCGTATAACTATTTATGTTTGTTGTTATATGTATTTATATATTTTTTCTATTCATTTGAGCATTAAAATCACGCGGCATAATCTGTAATTACAGCCTAACCGGCATAACTGCATAATAATGCGTTAGAAAGGCATGTGAACATACGCTACACACATATGTACATACACCTGTGTATAATGAATATTTGTTAATTTGATTTGTTAGCAGCATTTTGCAATTTACAGCACAAAAATTCAGTAATTAGTGTTAAAAATGTTTAAATTTCAATAGAAAGGTCTGAATGCTTCACACGAATACCGAAAAAAAAATAATAATAATTGAAAGAGTGCGTAATATAAAGCTAAAGTTAAAAATATTTAAAAACACAATTTAGCTGAAACAAATATAGAAAGTAATAGGGGTTAAACTGAAAATGTCTCAAATTTTAAACAAAAAACACTAATTATTTCATTAATATGAAAATCTATCTGCTCTACCACATTCATACACATATTTCTCTGTGTGTGTGACTTCCAAATATTTTGAATGCCTTAGCATAACTCTTAAAAGGCAGTTGTTAGTATACATAATGCCACCATAAATGACTGATCACCTAATGCTTAGTTACTGAATGCCGCTATTGGTGTTCAAATATGTTTATATACATACATGCCTTTTATACATATGTATACATATATACCATATTCGTACATATACAATTTTATGTCTGCTTAGATAGTATATACAAGTTTTTATTGCTTTTTAAATCGTAACCGACGCAAATTAGACGCCAAGTAAGATTTTAAAAATAAATAAAAAATATTTTACGGCATCTGCCGTTGGCGTGTATGAAAATAAAGCTAGTGCTAGCTGCGTAATGAGCTATAAATTGTTTTAATTGATATAATATTATATATGATGATTATGGGTCAAATTTGTTGACATCGAAGGTTTATTTTAAATTGACAATGTTTTCATTATTTTCTTTCTTAATTTAAGGTTTAAAAAATATTTAAAAGCAATAAAATATTAATAAATATTTAATTTATTTTTAATATTATGTATTATGTTTAAAACATTTTGGGCATTTTTTTGTTTTTAACTTAATTTAAATAATTTATTTTTTAATTTTATTTAAGTAAAAATTGATATCGATATTTTTGGTTTTAATTCATATATTTGCTTGCTAGTTTTTTATAAAATTAACATTTTGTGGTTTAAAAGTACCTTTTATTTCATATTGGTTTTGGTTAATTAAATTTTATATTAGTGTTTATAAATATACATTTTTTATTTTAAATATTATTATAAACTATATTATATTATTTTTTTGTTTAAAATTTAATGTTGAATTATACATAACTTTTCTATAAAATTATTATATAAACTATTATTATAAATTTTTTGGCTTAAAAATTAATTTTTTTTATGTTTTTTTTATTTTAAATTACACATTACTTGCTCATTTTTATTATTTATGTATAAAATATTTTAATAAAAATTATTTTATAATTATTTTTAACATTCATATATATTAAAATATTTTTATAATTATTCTGTAATTTTTGGTTGAAAAATACAATTTTAATATGAATTTCCTTATTTTAATTTTTTTTATTTTATTTAAATTTTTATTTTATTGACAGCAGCTTATAAGCATTTTTTTGCTTATAATTTTATTTTCAATTAGTTTTCCATTTGCTTGCTCAGTTTTAATATAAATTTTTATGGTAAAAGTGTTTTGTTTCTCTTTTTTATTATAAAATATTCTTATAAAATTTTTTATAAAACTTTTTTTCGCACAGTTTTAATATAAATTATTTGCATAAAATTTTTTATATAAAACCTTAAAAAAATTTCAGAAAAAAGATATTTAAATTTTTATTTTATATATTTTTTAAATAATTTAATGTTTGTTGGAGTTTGCTGGTGATTTTTAGTAATATTAAAATTTTTTAGTTCAAAAAATATATTTTTTAATGGAATCCTAAAATACTTAAAATAAGTGTAATTTATATATATTTTTTAAATTTTGTTTGTATTATATAGATATTTTTTTATAATTTAAAACTTTTTGGAATTTGCTTGAAATTTTTATTAACATTATAATTTTTAAATTTAAATTTAAATTTAATTTAAATTAAATAGAATCTTATTTATTATTAATATAATTGATTTATTTTTTTTATTTAAACGTAATTTTTTATAATTTTAATATTTAAATTTAATTTAACAAATGTTTTTACATGTCGTTGTTGGTTTTGTTGAGTTTACTTTTTTATTTGCTGTGGATTTTCTTGTAGTATTATAAAATTTTTAGTTCGAAAACTATATGTGTTTAATAAAACCTTAAAAAATCATGGAAAAAGTACGAATTAAAAAAATTTCATTTTTTTTGAAATTAAAGTTTTTATAATTTTTTGTTTTTAGTTTTTTAATTAAATTTTTTTATATAATAATCTTTTATATAATAACTATTATAACTTAGTTACTTAAGCAACAATTATTTTTATTGTTATTATAACGGGTAAAGAAATAGTTAAGTTAAAGCAAATTCATAAACTTTTTATATATTGTTTTTGATCATAAAGAAAAAGTTTTATTGATTAAAAAAGAGTGTATGCTTAATTTTTAGTTTAAATCACATTTTAAATATAATATAATGTAACTTACTTATTTTAAAATAATATTTTATTAATATTATAATATTGTTTATATAAAATTATTATTTTTTTTTATATTCGACTGATTCCACATAAATTTCAATTTGCTGTTTTTTTCTATATTTAATAAGTTTATATTTATTACATTAATTCTTTTACTTTTTAGTACCATCTCAGTATTTTACATCATCTTTCTTGTTCATATACATACATAAATGTAATTTTGTTTTTTTGTGTTATAAAACTTTATTTCACTAGCTTATTACTCATTTATCTAACTTGCACAGACAATGAACGATCAAGTTCGGTGCCTGCATACTAAGTTATTTATCTATTTTTTTTATTATCTTCTAGGTTTTCTCATAGTGAAAAAGTGAGCTGTTGCCGGCATAAAAATGTAGGAGCGGCGAGGCAAACAACTTGAACAACAATTGAAATACGATGAGTGCCTGCTTACACACACGACATACCTACATATATGTATATATGTATATTGGGATATACAGGTGCATACATATATACATATATGCATATACATATATATACTTTACATTTCATTTTATACAAGTACTTGTATATATGTATAATATATACTCGTATATTAATACATATATGTATGTTTGTATATAACTAAAAGCTTCTAGTGCGTGTGCCAGCAGCCGTCGCTGCGCGATGCTAAGTGTCTTCGAAATCTGCTTAATTCTCTTTAATTTTTTTTGATCTATTTTCATAACGATCGCAATTGTGAACACTTGAGTAAACAATTGCCGGCTTACTTTGAAAGTAAACAAAAGCGTAAATGATTTCGTATTAAACATTTTTTTCGATGCAGATAAGAAGTTTTTTTTTTTGTTTTTATTTTAAATTGATCTTCCGATGATCCACTCAATTTGCTCGGTATTAAAGTTTTCGAGCTTAATGTACTTACATACATATATCTATGTAAAAAATGTCATATCTACAATATGATAGATATTTAATTCATGTATATACAATATATATGATATACTTTTTTCTTATTTTTATTTAAAATTTTGTGGAAATTGTATCATAAAAGTTAACTCAACTTAATAATTTTATTCTTTTAAACTGTAAACGGCATTACGCTTATAAAATTTTCAACCTATTGACTATGTATGCTAGTTCGTTCTTTAGGGTCTAAGGTTCCGTCTGCCTCAAAACTATTTTTAAATATTTCAATCTAGTATGTGTATGCTCTAATGTTATAAATTCACAGATTTGAATAAACATTTTTTCTTACCAATTAACTGTAATACAAACATTTAATTTTTTTATTTTAACATCTTAATAAATTTTTTTTCCTAATTTTTTTTTTACTTTTTTTTTGTTTTAATTTATTTTTTGTTTTAATTTATTTTTTGTTTTAATTATTTTTTTGTTTTTTTTCTGGTTTATTAATATTTTCTATTTACTACGGTTTTGAACAGCTAGCATTATTTTAACTTAAACAATTACCAAAAAAATTAAAAAACTTACAATTAACTAATGTAAAATAATAAAAATAATTTTTTTTAAATAAAATATTTATATTGTTTAAACAAAATTAAAAAAAAATAATAATAAAAACATCTTATTTTCATCATATTATGTTAATCAATTGTGTTATTTTAAATGATAATTTAAAATTATTATTTTAAAATTTCACTCTAAAACATTTCAAATTATGTAGACGAAGTTTAGCAGTTTCATTTTTTTAATACTTTTATATACGTATGTATATGTATTTAGAGTGCATTTTTCACAGCTAATTTGAAATTAATAATGTTTTGAAAATTATCGCAATTGTTTTAGTTGCAAATAAAAAAATATTATTGAATTTTTTTCTAAGCAATATTTTTTTAAACATTATTTAATTATTTATGAAAAATAAATTTTTTTATTAAAAATTTGTATTAAAAAAAATAAAATATATATATATATACATATATATAAAATTATATATACAATATATAAAAAAATTTTATTAAAAAAATTTTGTTTTTTAGGACTATTTATACAATAACTTTTTTTTTACTTTTTTAACTTTTTTTCTGATAAAAATGTTTTTAACCATGAAAAGCATTAAGTCTCAATACTTTAACGTAATTTATTACTTTTACCTCTTCAGCAATTTTAAATAAATTTTCGTATGCAACAATTTATTATTATATTTTACATTAATTTACTTATTTGATTACATAAACTTTTCACTATAAATTTGGTGTGGCATACGTTTCAAAGCAAACATTTTTCTCTTAACTTTATTTATATAAATTAAAGTCAACAATGGGGTACTTAACAAATTTAAGATAAGCATACTTTTTTGTAAGGTGTAAGTTTCAAATTTTCTCTTTTATAAAAAAAAATAGTTAAAGGTTTTGAATGCTTTATTTGCTTTTTTAGAATTTAATTATTTGATTTTATATTTGTTTTTTAATAAGATAAATGATATATTTTATTTGATTTGCCCATTAAAATTCTCATAAATTTTTTTTTTTTTAATGTTTTGAAAGCTTTGATGTTGCTGTTTTTAGAATTAAAATACATAACTTAACTTTTTTTTTCTTTTTCTAGTTTTTTCAGTATTTTAAATTATTTTTCTAATTTTCATGTATTATACCTAAACAATTAGTTTATCTAAAATATTTAATATTTCTTTAATGTTTGTTTTTTAATTTTTTGGATGAAACATTATTTCAAATTTGTATACATATTTTTATGTATATACAAAGTAGTATAAAAAGAATTTAGTAGTATTATGCACTCTTTGTTTTTAAAATATTTAGTATATTCGATTTATTACTATTTTTCTGTTTCTTTTTATTTATTAGTTTTCATACAAATACTGCCCGTGTTCATAATCCATCAATTTTTCTTTTGATTTACTAAATTAATTCCAATTCATGCTGCATTCAACCACTGACAGTCGCACAATTGCATTCCTCTCCCTTCTCAAACAACCCACACATTTTGCGCTTACACATACACATACGTATATACTTATATATTCACACAAATTGACTGCTGCAGCGCTGCCAGTTGGACAGCTGAAATGCACAAAGCAGCAAAAACAACAAACGCACCATACGTTTATAAATTATTTGTTATTATTATTGTTGTTGTGGGAAACTTACACTATTTTCGCTGCCGCTTACACAGTTTTTACTATAACTAAACGCATTCTGACATGATTTACTTTCATAAAAGTCGTTCGATTGCGTTAGAATAACTGCGACGCCAACGTTCTGCCGCACAAGCAAACGCTGCTGCTCCTTTTCGTTCACAAACTTGTTATTTGTTTTCCGAAAGCACAAACACACACTTTGTTGCAAACACTGCTTTATTTAAATTTATTTATTAACAAATATATTTATATTTGTCTTCAATATGCTTATTAGTATAATTATTCATTTTTTCGCTGACGCACTACGCTAAGCGAACACGCTCGTTTTACATTCGTACACGACGGCGACCGCTTCGAAACTCTTTTGCTCAGCCAGCGATTGCCTGAATTTTTCCCACATTTGTATATCCCGACAGCGCTTGCCGATAGTTTTCACTACTATTTACACACATACTTATGCACGCGCGTACATGTAATTTTGTATGTGCCTATCGCTGACCGTGGGCAACAGCAACACTGGAAAACTGGTTCCGCGTTTTTGTTTACACTGTGCGTGCGAGCGAGATGACCATAGTGGTAAACGGCCAATGCGGCGAATATGCAAGGCAGCGAAAATGTAATGCAGCGAGTGTCGTGTATTTGGTTTACTAGTTCGGTTATTTCCGGCGAATCAGCTGTTTCTAAAAATGATTGTCGTTTTTAATTGTGTGTTAAAATTGTGGTTTGAAATTGGTTGGTATTGACAAGAATTAAAAATTAAATAGATGTTCGAAGTTGTGAAAAGCGATATTTGGACAAAATTGAAATCTTTACAAGAAGGCTTTATCGAGCTTAGAAGCCAGGAGTGCTGTTTCAGTATTATAAAACAGAAAGTGGTGACAGCTTGCGTCCAAAAAACCGGAAACCAATTGCTGTCGGAATTTGGCACGGTTCTGAAACCAGATACAGCAACCCATCAAAAGTGTTAGTCTGTACTTAAACAGCTCAAAGGCATACTTTAAAAACTCACACGCACACTTTAAAAGCTCACAAGCACCTTTCTAAAAGCTTTTGTGGTCAGGAAAGTAAAGTAAACTTTCTAGTGAGACTGTCTGCTCAGGAAGTGGTCTTCTCTACTTAGTAAAGCTCGCAGGTATTCATCAGTCGTTGTCCGCAAGCAATACTATGGACAGAATTTCATCAACTTGGGATGCTTCCAGCTCGGTGAGTTGATCTTAATTTAAGTGTTAATGTGTTATAACTTTGTGAATATTGAACAAGTAATATACGAAAGCTAATCCAGCTTAACTTACAACACACAAAATATTTGACATTTATGTATGTATAACAACTTACAAAATAATAATATCTTTCTTCCTCTTTATTTCTCGTTTTAAATTAAGCTCGTAAGAACTCACTGGAAGGTCTTTGAGGTTATGTAAATTAACTCGCATAAATATTTGCAATTTCGTAGATATTCAAATTTAAGCTGTATGTTAAACTCTAAATTTTTTAGGTCGCACTGTACGTACTATACTAAAATTAAGCATAGACACACACCGCTGCCAAAAAATGGCGAATATTTCAGCCTGTAGATGGCCGTGAAGCTTCCTAATTGCATATAAACAAAATTCAACTGCAACAAATTTTTGAAAAAAAATTTTTTTTTGGTTTATTTTTTCTTTCTAATTAAACTACACTTTAAATCTAATTTTTCGCACAAATGTACTAAGTTTATAAATCTCATTATGCTTGAATGAACGTCACTATATCTCGGGGAAGGCGCTGCCAATCAGATGTTTGCCGCGATAACGCCAGGTGTAAGTGACAATGCCGAAGCGCTGATTGCCCAGTGATACCGGACATGTGCGATCGGGACGCAGCTGGAAACATACTGTGTACAGAGCCAATTCCAATTCGGGTGAGGTGCCAGCGAAGACGCCATTAACCGGTTTATTAACACCTTTATGGCTGAAGCGTACTTTCAGAACTTTCGCTTTCTGTAGAATAGAATAGAAGCAATATAAATACAATAGGTATATGTTAAGAGAGTGAGTATTTTTCGCCTGCACTCACATTGCCCAAATCGATTTGATGCAGATAACCCTTATAGTCCAAGCGACCAGCTTTCTCCTCGTCCGCGAAATAGACCCAGTTGTGCAGACCGATTAGTGTGCCATTTTTTACTTCGTGCACGAAGACATGTTCAAAGCCCGAACTGCCGATGCGTCCCTGCCCACGCGAGTACTGTGTAAACCAGAGCTCTTTAACGAGATCGCGATGGGTCTTCGGATCAGGTGTTACAATGCCTATGAGCAAGAAGAAGTTTGAGCTAATGTGAGAAATAAATACACGGCTTGAATTTTTTGACTTACCTTTGTTTTGCAAGAAGAGCATGGCCTGTCGCATGACCTGTGTACCCATTACTGCATCGACGAATTCATTCTCCTCACGACGCTCATTGACGGTCACATGTTCATTGGCCAAAGTATCCTCTTCGTAGTTATCGAAGAGCGCGCGCATTTTAGCGACTGTCGGTGAATCGAAAGCGCGAGGTTCGACTTCAAAGAGACTGAAAAGAATTCAAGCGGTATTGACTTGTGTTCAATGTTCAAAAACTAGCTTCTGTTAAATTGTTCATTAGCGTAGATAACTTACGGCTCGGGCGCCTCGTCCGTGCTATCAATTGACCTTGTCTTGCCCTGAGCATTGACATGCAACAAATTTAACAAGCTCTGCTCTTTAGCATATAGTTGCTCAGTGAGGGCGCGTATTTCGTCGTCGCTGGCAACTGAGCTACCGCTGGCACTACTATCAGTGCCAGGTTTAACCGTAGTTGAGGGACCGGGCACGTGTGGTACAAAGGAAACGCCAGTTCCACCAGCGCCGGGCGTACCTGGTCGCATGGGACTGCTTGGCGTTGGTGAAGTTGGAGTTATGGTACCACTACTTGGACGTGAAGGTGCCACTGGTGTGGGCGAACCCCAAGCAAATACTGGTGTGGGTTGTGCACCACCAGTAGGAGAGGAAGGTCGTAGAGGTGATACTGGGGTGGGGCTACCGGGGGTGCGTGGTGTTGGTAGCGGTGGGAAGTCTTCTTTGTTGCCCAGGGAAGAACGACGTGGTGGCGGTAAAGGTGGAAAATTATCTTTTGTTGTTGAAGGACGGTGTGTAGTGGTCGTGGATAGTACAGTGATTGTGTCAAAACCATTACGCATATCGAAACCTAAAGCACTGCCGGGAGGACTTGGTTTTGGTGTTGTCGTTGTCGTGGTTGTGGTACTAGTTGTGGTTGTTGTGCTGGTCAGTGGTGCCAAACCGAAACCGGGTCGTCCGGCTGGGCCACCTTGTGGACGTGCGCCACCGCCATAGCTTAGATCCAAGCCAGACGGCTGGGCTTTAGGTGGTTGATATGGGCCAAAACCAGGTGGTAAATTCGGTTGTGCTGTACCCGGACGACCAAAGTTATTCACATTACCAGCGCTGCCAAAAGTGCCAACACCGCCAAAGTTGTTTGCAGTCGATACCGCCTGCGGACGTTGTTGCTGCAATTGCGGGCTGCCGGCTGGTGGATGCAAACCGATAGGCGAGGTTGGAGTTTGCGCTGCTGACTGCGACGTGGGTTGAGGCCATTGTGGCGGCTGTTTGCCATTACCACCGAAGGGTGAAGATTCTGGTGTGTCGGGACGTGGTCCCAGTGGCATCAGTGGTGCATTTGGGTTAATGGAAAACGGTGGTGGCTTTTGTGCGCCAGCGGCATTAGGTTGTACACGTGGTGCATTTAGTTGTGGTTGGGGCGGAGTGGGGGCCGGCAAATTTCGTATTGGTAATGGTGTGGTGGTAGTGGTGGTCTTATCACCACCGCTATTAAACAAACGACTAAACCAGCCGGACTTCTTTGTTGTCTGCTCTTCCGGTGGCGCTGGAGTTATCTCGATCTCCGTTTTGTAGCTGGCTAGAAAAATTATTGAAATTCAAATATTTGTTTTACTGGAATTAGCACGCAACTGCTAGGGAGTAAAATAGGGAGATAAGCGTTAACACAAAAAAAATTTTTTATTAAACTGAGATAAGAAATTTTTTTAAATATTGTTTGAGTGAAATTTATGAAATTTAGTTCATCAAATAATAAATTTTGTTTGCCAATTTTCTGCAGAAATTTTGTTAGTTAGATCAAAATAATATTACGAAATAAGAATACTTTCTGATCCCCATTATAAATCTTCAAAATTACAATTTTTATTGTAATTTTTTAATTTTGTCCTGATTTTCATTCCAATTTTTATACCCTGAGAGGTGATAACAGTCGACGAAATTTGTAACAGAAGCAAACTTTGAAAACCCTATAAAATATATATATATAAATGATCAGTCTGGCGAGCTGCGTCGATTTAGCCATCTCCGTCTGTCCGTCTGTCTGTATATATGGAAACTAGTCGTACAATTTTTGATATAGAATTTGAAATTGCGTAAACGTCCTTTTAAAGCTGCTTATTTGTCGGAACTGGCGATATGGAAACACTGTAGCATATAGCTGCTATACAAACTGAACAATCAAATCATGATCTTGGATGAAAATTTTTTTTTATTTGGCAATATATCCTCACAAAATATAACAAGGATTACTGTTCAAGCCAATGGCACAATCTTCGAAGAAATTGTTCAGATCGCACCACTGTAGCAAATAGCCGTCATATAAGCTGACTGATCAAAGTAAAGTGTTTTTATGGAGTATTTTGTATTAGTGAAGGGCTTCGAAGTTAACGTTTGTTTTTATTCATTTAATTTTTTCTGCTGAATTTTTATGTTTTATTCTAAAACTTATCATTTTTATTTTTTATCAATATATTTGTTTACTTTTTTAATTTAATAACTTGCTTTTAATCTTATCATTGAATATAGACATAAGTTTTGCTATTCATTTATTTATTATTTTACTAGAGTTTTATTTTTTTTATTAGTTATTTAAAATTTTATTTTATATATTTAATAAAAATTAAAAATAAATGTTTAAATATTTACTTATTAATTTTTTTAATTAGTTGCATTGTTATATATTTTAATTTTTTTTTTTTTTTAAATATTGTTATTTCATTAACACCTCACCCCACTGTATTTTCTTAAAGAAGATAGTTTTTTGGAAACTTCACGGGCTTTGTGTAATGTTTTTTTGTTTTGTTTACCTGCAAATTCGCACTGCAGCACACACAACAACAACACAGTACACACGAAAAGTGTGTGACTGATCTTGAAACCCATGGCTTCGCGACTTTTCTATTTGCTTAGCCCTCAATGCAGTGAATAATATTACTTATTTTATTTATTTTTTCAGTTTTTACACTTTTTTGGGTAAAAATTTAATTTCGCTCTTTTTCGAAATAGACTTTATATAAATTATTCACTAGCGACAATGTTGTACTGACACGTACGAATTCCGGCAACTGACTGAGTAGACATTGAAATAAGAATCGAACAGAAGCAACACAGAAACCTGTTAGGCTGAAATAACTACATATATTACGTGTACATACATAAATATGTATATGTAGGTATGCACGTATATGCTAGTTTGCCGCTGCTTTTGATGAAGCCGACGTTTGGTTGAGTGAGAGCGTTCGCTATAATAGGTAGTTATCGAACGTTTGGCTTTGTGAAAAAAATTTAGAGAAATCCTAAAGGGATAGTAAAAATACGCCATTTTCGTACTAAGAAAAATTAAAACTACTATCTTCGAAATTCCACTTGACATGCATGTAGGTTAAACTAGTTTTTAAAAATGTTAAAAATATAAACAAAGACAAAGTTTGAAACTAAATAAATATATAGCAAAGAAAATGTCCAACCAGATGATTTTTTAAAAAACAGTAATTTTCAATAATTAAATAAAAAATTTGAAAATTGTATCTATTTTCCGGATATAATTAAAATCAAAGAAAATTCCAAAACTAAATAAATATAAACCAAAAAAAGTTTCCAAACCAGATGCTTGTTTAAAAACAGTAATTTTTAATAACTAAAAAAAATATGAAAATTTAATATTTTTCCGGATACTACAATATTTAAAAATATTTTTTTTTTATTATGAAGATAGTAGTTTTGAATAATTTTTTTTTTTTTTAATTTATAATTTATACTTTTTATAAAGTTATAGTATGTAATTTTTTAAAAAATTTTAATTTATAATTTAAAAAATTTAAATTATTATTATATTTCTGAGCACAATTTTTTTTAAATATTTTGATTAAATTTTTTTTAAAATATAAAATTTGTCCGGATACAATTTTCGCATACATAAAAAAAATAATAATAAACTATATATTATGAAGCTTATTTCATAAATATTATGCATTTTGTTTTCTGAAAATATAATATTTTTTCAAATATAAGTTTTCCAAAAAAAAATTATAATATAAAACTATACTTGTTTTTCTTAAAATTTCTATTTGCTTAAAAAAATGTTTAAGAAAATATATATAAAACTGTGAAGCTTCAATTTTTTTTAATAAGCAAAGTAGTAAAGTTAGATTAAATTTCATTTCTAAAGGTAAAAAATCTTTCCAAACACAATTTTTTGTAAATATTTTAAATACATTTTCTGAAAATGTAACATTTTTCCTGATATAATTTTTATAAATACAAATGAATATAATTTTTTTTTGTATTATCTTATATTTTTTTCAAAAATTTCTTATTGCGTAAAATAATTTTACAAAATATATAAAATTGTGAAGCTTAAAATTTTTGTTTGCATAGAATTTTTGTGATGAATTTTTGTAAATAAAAAATTTCCCTTAAATTTTTTTCCTTTAAAATATAAAAACTTTCCGAAGACAATTTGCTGTACATAAAAAATATTCAATTATTATTTTTTAATAAATAAAATTCGGATCATTTGTAGTTTATTGTTAAAAGGAATCTAAAAAAACAATATATGCATATATCAATATTTACTTATATGTTTTTATTTATTATTATTTATTTTGCTAAGTGAAAAAGTAAATTTCAAGTATTAATAATCGTGTTGTAAAAATTTTATAAACTATTTTTTATACTTTTATTATATTATATAATAGAACAAATTTCAAAAATATTTTTAAAAAATATTTAAAAAAATTCGAATTTTGAAATTCAAAATTAAAGTTTTTAAATTAATTTGACTTTAAGCAAATATTTTTCTATATTTAAGTACTTTGATTTCTTAAGAGAATGGTACTTATAGAAGTGTAATCAAATATTTTTATATATACATATACATATGAATAGTATGAGAGAATTAAAAATATTTATGAAGCAATATTTAAGGGGCCTATATATATAAATATATATATATCTATATAAATATATATTAATACATATGTAAAAGAAAAAAGTAAAACAATTCAGTTCAATTGATTTATAAAACAAAACAACAACGCGCTTTGACCTCAATGGCCCCGCGCTTATAGACCAACATGAGATAAGCGAGCGACAATTCAATTCTATTAGAAGTCAATTGAAGCTGCGAAATAAGAGCAAGATACTACTAATTTATATTAAAAATACAAGCACGTTAAAAAAAAACTTTGGGGAAATAAATAAAGTCGGTTTATATATAGTAAACTACTACCTATATAAATAAGTGTTATGTGTACACATACTTATATAAGCGCACCGCTTTTCTTGCTTTATGAAAGTGACACCAATGACAATTGTATAATTAAATCACCGTTATAGCACCGAATATAGTGCGGCATACCGCCTCTCCTTGCTTTAGTATTGTTTTACGTATGTCAAAACGTAATTGAGTGGCTTAATTAAAACAAGTTCACCACCTAAAACGAAAGCTTTCATTGAGTATAGTTACACATATACACATACACATATACATATATACATATTAAAAAATATATATATGCTTGTATATGCTAATAAGCGTATAAATAAAACTAACTGATTCTTTTCACACATTTTTTTTTAAGTAATCGTGAGGGAAACTCTATGGAAACAAAGTCTTTTGTTGTTTTTGTTGGTTTGTAGCAATTTTTTTATGAATCATGATTCATGCAGTTTCATGAATGACGGCTCAGTATATCGATTGTTTGCTGAGATGGTTAGTATTATCACTCATATTTGAAAACTGCAAGTTTCCATTAATATCGCTTTCATATAAAGTCAATACGTCGTTTCTCACACAAAAGCAAATTTTAATTCAATTATTTTACCATATAATATACATATGTATATCCTCACATCATATGACTTACCTTTAAAGTGTTTTAATTCATATCAAAAGCTCATATGTTGTGTATTCAATTCCCGTTAGCTGTACAACTGCATTTCTGTATCATGTGATCTGCACATCATATCTTATCAATACATTTTTTGACATCATATGACTTTATTGACATCACAGTGTTGTTTGATTTTCGTAAAATTATCATACAAACGCAGTGTAATTACATTTAAAGACATTTCCGTGTTGCTTCTGTGCTCGAAATTTATAAATTATTGCCAAAAATTCACAGCGTGTAATCTACATCATGTGTGATAATTCAAGTTTTTAATATTTTTTCACTTACATCCACAGGTACGCATTTAATCTTTATTATAAATAATTATTAGTTAATTAAATCAAGGCATAGCATTATTTTAGAAGTATTACAGAGGTCATATGACATTGACTGGAATATTAGCAGGGAAGAGTTTTTTATGCTACTTTTCTATATACATATTTTAATGGTTTTTATATATATTCGTATAGTCATGTCCTATTAAATAGTCATGTTAGCCGTAAGAATTCACATACAAAGCCCTCCAACCATTACATCACATAATCTGCGGTTGACATGTTTGCTGTCTGTACAAACATTTATGTATAGTTCGAAATATAATACTTAATGCAGATATTTCCACTGTATATGCATATATTAAATCAGCTCAACTATAGCACATCACACTCCATAGTATCATCATATGACCGGCATGTGTTAACATCATATGATTTTTTGACTTGCCATTGAAATTTTTTATTTCTAAATACGTTGAATGCATGATATTATATTTTCAGACAGAAAAAGAATCATATGATTGGCACATCGCCTTTGCATATGCTTTCAGTACAATCACATTGATGTTGACATGACGTGCCTGTACAGCTTGCTATACTTTTTTGCATACATATCTGTGTTTTTTCAATTTATAATTGTCCTTTAACACCAATCATTTACTTACCACTGCCATTGTGCATAAAGAAATTAAAAAAATATAGTTTATATTTATAATATATTTATTTATGTATTTATTTAATTAAATGCACACTGAATTCAGTTACTCTAAATACAATTGTCGATAGATATATTCTTTGTTTTATTATTTATTTTATTTTCTTTGTCCTTATTTCATTTTATATTTCATATGCAATTATTTCGTATTCATTTGTTGGATAGGTATGTGCAGGTGTATGTGTGTGCATCGGTGTTTATTTGTCTGCTAGCATACATACCCATATATATATATGTATGTGTGTGTGTATACATATAGATTACAATAACGTTCAATTTGCATATCAATTGCACATTTAAAATGTGTTCATTTGTATTTACTTAATTTTTTTGTTTTCCAATTAATTTCAACTGCATAAAATCTGTTGCATTAAATGTACGCCTCATGCTGCAGTCACATCTTTGATGGAGAAAAAAAAATTTGAAATTTAAATTAAAATAATTTTTTTAAAATTCTAAAAAATATTTTTTTATGAAAAATTTTACTTCAAATATTTTATATTTAATGAAAATAAAATATTTTGGGGAATTTAAAATATTAGAACAGAAAAGCAAAAGTTTTAAAAAAAAGTTAATTTTTATTTGATTAAAAAATTTAATTTTCAAAAAAAACAAATTAAAAAATATATTAAACAAAAGTAATTTTTCCAAAAAAAGAAAAATAAAAATTCTAACAAAATTAAATTTTTTAAAACATTTAATTTTAAAATTTTTTTCATAATAATATTTTAATATAATATAAATATTTAATTTTCTTATTAAAATATTTTTTAACGGTCAATTTTAGTAATATTTTTCTTTTACAGAAAATTTTTTTCTAAAATACTTCAACATTTCTTTGGAAACTACTTCAGATCAATTAAATAATTTTCAGAATCAATTTAATGTATTTATTACATGTACATTTCTACATTTGCCATATTTTTTCGATATCAGTCTGCTCCAAATATTTTTTTGGTATCCTAAATATTTTTTTTATAATCATACAGTTAAAAAGCATATTTCGAAAATAGTTTCGAAATCTTAATAACCCATAAAGAAACATCGACGTTTGCAGGGCCAAAAAAAGTGTTTTTGTAAAGCCAAAAATTTTGCTTAATTTATATTTGGAAAATATTCATAAAAATTTTTTGTTTTGGGTTGAAAAATATATTTTTTAAAATGATTTCCAAACTTTTGTTAATAGTTAATAAAAGAAAGTTATCAAACAATTTAAAGCTAAAAAATTATTTTGGT